ATGTGATCAGATTACACGCATCAGTGTACTCGGATCGCGTGGCTAGATTGCAAGTCGCTTGTTCAAGATCGTTAAGATCACGCGCTCAGATCGCTCAGATCTCTAGCTCTCTGATGGCATGATTAGATTGCACGCATTAGAGCTCTTGTATCGCATGGCCAGATTGCAGATCGCACGCTCATATCATCCAGATCGCGCGTTCAAGATCATTGAGATCACGCGTTCAAATAATTTAGATCGCGCTTCTGAGTGGCTAGATTGCACTTTCGAGTGCTTAGATCGCTGATCTCGAGTTCTCAGATCAAGCTTCGCGCTTTCTGATCGAACTCATTGTGTTCAAGCTTTGCGCTTTCTAATCGAACTCCTTCTGTTCTCATATCAAGTTTCAAGCTTTCTGATAGAACTTTTTCTGTTCTCAGATCAAGCTCTGTGCTTTCTAATTGAACTTCTTATGTTCTCAGATCAAGCTCCATGCTTTTTGATAGAACTTCTTGTGTTCTCAAATCGAACTCTTTATGCTCTCTGATCGAGCTCTTTATGATCTCAAATTGAGCTCTTTATGCTATCTGATCGAGCTCCTTAAACTCTCTGATTGGGCTCATAAGCTCACTCGTTTGCTTAAGATCGTGTGCATCAAATCGTTTAGATCGCAGGCCTCAGACTCTCAGGTCGAGCCCCTATCATATCGCAATCAGCTTCTAGCTCTCAAATCGTCAGCTCTTAGTTATGAGATTGCAAATAGCCTCAGGTCAGTTCTCAGCTCTCAGATCACGATCAGTTCTTAGTTCTTGGATTGCGACCAGCTGCAAGCGTTAGAAAAAATGCCTAGAAAACTGAAAATAGCACAAAAACATGTCGAAACGATGGATTTTGGCCCCGAAAATGGTCCCAGCTAGGTTTTCCCGTTATGATGACATAGAGCTCGGAATGAGCTTTTTGTGGATATCTTATGGGCTCCAAAAATCCTTCCGAATCAAAAGTTATGGTTGTTTTAAGTTGGCTTCTCCGTTTAAGGCCTCTAAGTCGTGAATTTAGGCTTTTGACGTCAGCTCTCTCCAGGAATTCATTTATTGGACATTTCATGTCAATTATCAGATCGCGCATAGCTTCGGATCGCTCCAAGCGCTCAGGTCGCAGCACTCAAATCGTAGTCCTAGCTCTTAGTACCCGATCGCGCCAGACATAATTTGAGCTCTTCAGTTTGAGACTATAGCCTATAGTGCGACAGCTATTCAGATCTAAGACATGAGTTTTTGAAGCGTGATTACGCACTCTAAAAACAGGGGAGAGGGGGGGGGGGGGGGGGGGGGGGGGGGTTTCTGTTGTGCTTAAAGGTCACACCGATGTCAGCTCAACAAGTGCCTAAAAGACAAAGTGTGCTAGCTGTTAAGCCCATATCGCCTCAAAGATATTTTATACCAACCCTATCACATTTTAAAATAAGGATGACCGAGAGCTCTCCATGTGTCAAGGCAACTTGCAAAAGCACTCATTATATTAATCTCAAAGGTGTATAAATAAGCACCTCTCTCCGTAAAAGAGAAGGTCGGGCATATGAGAGTTAGGCATTTGGGAGCTTATTTTTCTCTGTAAACAAAATATTTCTTCATTTTTATACGCCTTATAGGCAATATCATGGAAATAGTCAGGGAATAATCAAATAACAGTGGATGTAGGATTCGCTTTAAGCATCTGAACCACTATAAAAATGCTTCTTGTCTATCTATTATTTTTGTTTTTGCAAACATATATAATCTCAACACCATATTCAAATCGATTGAATCCATCACGTGTAATTTCTAAAACTCTTTTAGTACTTTGCACGTGCGAGTCGTTGATGTCAAAATCAAACATCAACAAAATTAATAAAGAGCACGGAATTAGTTTTCTATAACACAAATAATGAATAATACGAATGAGGATTGACAGTGTTACTAATAATTCTGATCTATCTAGCACGTGAGCAGTTGCAACTACTCCTGAGATTCTTTATCGGGGCCAAAATTATGAAGAAACTAGAAAAAGAAATGATAATGGGATGAATATTGTGTTTTTGGCCCCACGATTTTAATTTTTAACTCCATATCAATGAGGTTGATGATCGGAAATAAGACAATTTTTTTTTTATAATATGATAAATTTGAAAAAGAAAATAAATTAAGGTTACGGTATAGCCTAGAAAAAAAATTATTTCTCCATCTATAATCTAATTACTTGACACGAGAACGAGATGCATTCGAGAGGGTTTTATATTTCCTAAATAAGTTAATAATCAACTATATTTGGATCGTATTCATATTATAGCAAGAGATGATCCAAGGCGCTGAAAATACATAATATGAATTATGAAACTCATATTATAAAAATCATACAATTTAAAACAAAACAGAAATACAAATAATAACATAGGTAGCTACAGCCCATAATCTTTAAAAAAAAAAATAAATAACGAATGAAAATATTAAAACGTCGGCAACAATTTCAAAGCCTTATCTTCAGTCTCTCACTTATGCTCAGGATACAACACCCACGCAAAATAATGCCAGACCAGCAACCAACCCTAATCCCATATTAATTCTCCCGCTAGAACCACTATTGTCTTCAGATGTAGGTCCATCGGCTGCTGCCCTCGTCGTGTTTGAGCTGCTTGAAGGTGTTTTTGAAGACGGGACTGGAGCTGCAGATGGAGGCTTAACTCCAAACAGTGCATTAGGCAACAAAACCTGGTCCACTTGGTAAACGGCCAATGGAGACTCTTGCCTTAAAGCATTGTTAACCTGTGTCTCAACAAGCCCAGTTGACACATTCACTTGGTTCGCCCGCCCGGTGAAGTTTAGCCCCCAGGATCCACCGTCTGAGCTAGAGGCCTGAGTCCTAACCGGGTTGCTTACCAATAAAAGATCGTTCAACTTGTAAAATACCGGTAGTATATGATATTGAACAAGCTGTACTTGTTCCTGGTCATTGAGTTGGTTGAGGCTACCGGCTTTGAGGTTGTTGAAGGCGTTATCGGTAGGGGCGAAGACGGTCATGCCTTGGTTGGAGTTGTTTATTTGATTTTCAATTTGGTTTGCAGCTTGGGTTGAGGTTAAGAGTTTAATGAAAGTGGTGAATTGGCCACCTTTGTCGAGAATACCAGTGATGTTGATGGGGCCAGCGGGGGCGGGGGCGGGGGCAGATTGAGCTTGGATTAGAGGAGAGAGAAGGAGGAGAATGAGAGGTGTTAGGGTTAGGAGAGGAGCAGAGAATGCCATGGTGAAGTGAAGGAAGTGTTGATGATTGTTGTGTGCAGTGGAGAATGGAGTGGGATTTTATGGGATAAGTTAAGATGTGGGGGTGAGACTTCGTTGCTGGAATGAGCTGGCTATAGTCTATAGTCTTAAGTCAAGACAAAACTTTTTTTAATAATATATATGATTAATGCAAGAGCTTACTTCAAGAAAAAAGAAAACGAAGTTAGCAAGTTTATTTCTATGGTTTTTTCTTCCTTGAATAATCCATTTTTTTTTTTTTTATACTGGTGGCTAGCCGTCCTCATCTGGCAATACTAGAATTGAATAATGCCATATAACGTGGATTAAATAAACATTTGAAGTAACGTATTGCCCAATTTCTAATTTTTTAGAGTGTTGGTAATTTTTGTTAAGCAAAAGGTAACCCAATATTATTAGCTAATTGCCAAATGTGAATAAAAGACATATTTCAATTAATAATTTCCTGCTTCAATTAATTAGAGATGTAACAGTAGACATTTCCCCTTGTTTTCATTACAAGGCCATTGTGTTATAATTTAATTAGAGTTTTGAATGATGAACAAAAGGAATAATGTACTAGTAGTGTGAGTTTGGCAGGCTGGCATGACATGTCATGTTGGAATGAATTGGATAACACCTACAAGTATCAATTATAAAAGAAATACCAAATACCAATCATGCTTCTGTGGGCCCCATTTTGTACATTTTATTCCTCTATTTCTTTAATTTTCTTAGCACCGACACTGAGTTTTCATATTCAAGTTTTGATCATAAAATTGACTAATTAACGGCCAGATGAAGTCATCTGTTATTGTTGCTCTATCAAATCATCCGCCCCTTCTACAACGTTCATCATTTTTTAATTAACGCTATGATAAATGATTCTAACGAGGGATTTGATACAATATTTAAGCTTGTTCTGAAGGTCTTAAAAGGCACACAGCCCAGTCCAGTATGTTGGTCAAAATCAGCTCTTGGGTTGATGGGCCCATACTTCTTGGGCCATAAACACACTTTACATTACATAAGCCTTTACGTTATGACTCAGCAATCCTTTTGGGAGGTTTTACTTTTTGTTGGAAATCTCAAAATTTATAAGATAATATATATTTACGTATGTATCATTTTAGATGGAACTTAACATTGTCTATACTATATCACTGTCAAAAATAATAGAAGCTGACATTCACATATTATTGAATCCAAAGTAAAGTAAACCTTCAGTTTTAATATTAAAATTATAAACTTTTAATTATATATTTAAATTAATACGGTAAGGAGTAGTAAATGAGAAGTTATCATTTATTTTATTTACATTATTTTTTATTGATCTAAAGTTTTAATTTTGTATTAGAAAGAGACATCATGAATTTATATAGTGTTTTAAGATATAAGGTATCCAAATCTAACTCAAAGATTTGAAGTTGTGGGGTGTGTCGAATTTGTTTTTAATATATTAATTAATCAATTAAAATGAATGATAATAACAAATGTAAGGAAGATCTTAAAAGAAGCAGAAAATTTTTGTCGTTGTGAACCCTCCGTTGAGATCTCTCCACGTAGGCACATGGAACCGACCCCACCATCCAATTTTGCGATTCTGAAACTTCGCCCATCGTTTTGCCTTTTGCCTATAGCCTTTGCTGCTGTTTTGTATTTCCCCCAAAATCAAAAGCCACCGCCCACCGTTTCCTTGATGCAAACACATCTAAAATCTCAATCTCAATCTCTTCGTTCCTGGAGTTGTGGTGGATGGCAAGAACCAACAAGTACACCTCCATCAACTTCAATCACGTTCTCGAAAAAAATCTCTCTCCCGCCACCTCCGCCACCAACTCAACTAGACAACCTTCCTCTTCCTCTTCTTATTCTTCGATCGCTTCTTCAAACACTTGTAACAAAGCTCTGTTACCTTCCTCCAGAAGCCATGGCCGCATGCTTGTTCTTACCAAACCCACTCCCAAACCCGTGACCTCATTGTTGCCTTCACCTCCTTCGTCGCACCAACAACTACAGACTTCGCCTTCTCAAATTCCTGATCCACCACGGACGGATTCAGGTTCTGACCCCATTTCGCTGCGACCTCTAGGACGAACCGGTACGGGTTCAGAGTCTTTCACGCCTGTTCTTGTTCCGGAGAAGGAGAAGGAAGCTAGTTCGGTTATTGTATCACCCAAACCGAACAAGTTTGTGCCACCGCATCTTAGGCCGGGTTTTGCGGGCAAGGAGGAGAGGCCCACGCCGGAGGTTGTGCGGGCGAGGGAGTCGGGTCAAAAGCATTTTGGATCTCCAGGTCGGTATGTTGATGATGGGCGGCCCAAGTCAGGTGGATATGAGAGGACGAGGAGAGGTGGCGAGTCGGATCTGGGTTTGCTGAATCGACCCACATCGAGTGGGAATCGACGTAGTTATACTGAACCATGGTATTTTTTTTTTTTTTTTTGGTTGGCTTGTGTTGCATTTGGATTATATTATTTATTTGTATATCGTTTTTCATTAATGTTTTATTGTTGAGATTTCACCTTTTACTTCGTTGTTGAATAATATGGGCTTTCGTGTGTGATTGATAATGGTTTATTAGATGCTACACGATCTTTATAAATTTGTAGGTTTTGTATCTTTAGGCATTCATGTGTCGTTTTATTTTGTATTTGTTAAAGTATTGATCTCTGTTGCGCATTTATGAATAGTCTTAGTCTAGACTACTTTTCCTTGGCTTATCTTTGAATGTTGCTAACATTTTCATCTTGCAGATGCATTTATTGATTATTATATTATCATTCATCCTTATCAATATCCCATTAGTTGGAATTTTATTGAACTTGTTATTCATGGGGTACTAGAAACTTACATACTTTGTGATGTTGTTTACATACTTAATATGTTTTAGTTAGTAAGCCGATTGAAAGCGAGCTTGAATGTTGCTTTAGAAGATGGTCGTCCAAAATCTAACTTTGGGATCCTAGGTTATGTTCACAATTAAATTTTGGAGTTTTTAAGGCTTAAAGTGGGATCCATATTTCAGATCAGTTTCGCTGTTCTAATATATTGCCATACGCAGTATATATGTTGTCCGTGACAATATGTAGAAAGCAGGATTTGTATGGTTTGAATTTTTTAAGGGAAACTTGCGTTATATTTTTACAAATTACAATCTTATCTTGATAAGCTGTGGAAATTAAGAGTCATTCCATGCTACTACTTTTTGTGGGTCCGTAGACATGGGCATGGTTTCAGTCTCAAAAACCTAAGCACAAGAAGACTCCTCTAAATATATATGTTTGTATAATTATTTTCTAACATATTATATCAACTGTTGTTGCTTGTGTGTGTATTTTGAAGTGCAATAGGAAGTGAAATGTGTATCAAGCTTGTTATTAATAATTTTCCCTTAACAAAAATTTTCAATAGTAATACACTATATTAGTCAAATGGAAGCAAATTTTAATTATATGATTGTTTTGTTTTACATCTAAGGTAGCAATGATTCAGTTTTCATGGTATTTGTACTCCTAGTTATTGAATATGCATAAAGGGGGGAAATCTTGTTGATGATTAGGATATTGCTTCAGATGATGAAATTATGTTACGTTTTGATTGAAGAATGTTTTGGATGGTTTTGTCGAAAACCTGTACATCATATTTTTGCCTTTCTATTTCATATTATCATGGGGTTGTTGGGCCTGAGATGTTTTTTTTTTTTCAAGTCATAAAATCTTGAACGAGTCTCCTACTTACTTCATTAGTATCTTTGCATATCATGTAATAACTCATGCACAAAGCTCTTATATAGGGTCCACTTGCTGATTTTTCACCAATTTGCATATTTGTTCTACCCAAGCCCATGAAAGACCCATGGCCCAACCCAAATTGTTGAGTTATTAGAGTGGGTTCTTATCAATTGGTATCAGAACATGATCTTGCGCCTATGTGGTAGCGCACGTGTGGCAAGCTGACCCGTGGCAGGCTAACCTTGGGCCCAGGCTGCTACCTCGAGAAAGGGCATGGAGGCTCGAGGGAAAGGGGATCCGCGTAGTCACACAAGGTAAAGAGGCCGACGTTGACGTCGGTTGCGAAAGCGTGATAGAATGTTAGGATCCCACATTGAAAGGGAAAAGGGTGGCATGTGAGTTATAAAAGCTTGGACACCCTCCTTAGCAAGCCGGTTTTCCAAGGAGAGCTCTACCAAGCCTATAAAGACCTATGGTCTAGTCCAATTGTTGAGTTATTGGAGTGGGTTCCTATTAGTATGTATCATACTATCTGTTTTGGGCAATGTTTCAGTATTATTCTTTCTTTGTTTTCTTTGGTGTCCGTAAAATAATACAAAAAGGGTAGAATGGACAATACAAATTGAAAGGGTTCATTATTCAAATTGTAGGAAATCTCTGAATCAAGTGCTTTTTCTTGTTACAATGCTAATTCTGGATGTGTTGTTACTGCTGTATGATTCTTGCAATTCCCATGTTAAACCTGATATAACAAAGTGTCTTGCCGGGATGAGAAGGCATTATCTCTGCAGTGGAAGCAGTTTCTGTTGCCATTTTATGCTATGTGAAGTTAGATTCAATTTTGGTTACTTAGTTTTGGATTGCCTTTTTCAATTGGACAATGGAATCTTGTGTATCACTGTTAACCCTTTTTTTTCTTTTTGTCTCCAGATTCTTGGAAGGGAATCTCTTTCCTGAGAATGGATGTGAACTTTCCTGAAACATTGATGGGTTCTTTACTGTGATCAGATACGTCCTTTGATAGTCTGAATTGCAGGGCTTTTTGGGAAGATCAGTCAAATTTCAATTAATGGAAAACTAGGTGGAAGTTGTTGGGACTTCTAATTCCAATGATGGAATTAGATCTAAGTTTGTAATTTTGTGATGAACGAGAGGGTCTGAAGATCCCAGTCCCATTCATTACTTGGTAGTTGGCTCTTCTTTATTGTTTAAACAGACCACAGTACCTGCGGAAGCTAGAAATAGTTGTGGATTTTTATGTGTAATTGTTATGAGGGGGAGCATTGTGCACTGCTTATTAATGTGCAAGGCTGTACTTTAGATATTACTTATGTTTCACCTATTTCTGTCAATTGTGTCTTTAATTTTATTAATGGATTTTATTCCCACGTTTTCTACCTCCTTTGTACGTTGACTATGAAATATCTCAAGGACTTGCAGTAACATGACAATGAGACAACTCTCATATGCAACTGTATAAAACACATAAAAAGGGTTCCAATCATAACATGGAAATCGAAGCATATTGAGTTTTGATTTGTAGGTGGGAATTTTTAAAATATTGAGATCTCAATGAATTATAAACTTGTTTGCATTTTTGTCAAGAGTAAATTTTCTTGTATGTATGCAGGAGATAGGCGAGGAAGTGGTTTAAGACGATGACTAATGACGCAATTCAAAACATGTGCAATCTCAATGGTTTTTTTGTATATGACGTAATGTATCATATCGGATTGGTACATTACGATGTTGATATTATTTTGTTTTAAGGATGATAGAAATGAAAGGTACAGTCCCTCTTTCAAATCTGCTGCACTACCGAATACAATATCTGTACTTGTATCGGAATACAGGAAAATACAAATATTCAGAAACAAACTTAATCCACAACAGGCGCCGCCTCATTGGGTGGTTTGTTGGTGCATCCGTTGCACCAAACAATTATTCACACTGTATAGCGGCTGAAACCGGCTTCCAAGCTCCAAGAAGAGTTTGTTCCATTCTTTGAGGTCGCATTCTTTGGCCGGATAGCACACACATCATGTACATGTCAGTGCATAGCTGTCTCAATCCACTCCTCATCTTGATTTTGTGTTCAAAGATCAAGTCCAAAATAATCACTAAATCACCTTCCCTCCTTTATCTTTGCTCGGAATTGCTTCTTTCACCTCTTTAGTATCTTCAAGCAATCTTCATCTCCCCAGTCATGTAGAATCCACTGTATATTTTACATAAAATTAGAGAAAATACTCCCTTAAAATTTAAGATGATAGACAGGTGAAAACAAGAGCTAAAAGAAATATTTATTTTACCTTGAGCAAAACTGCATCTGCTGACAGCAGTCAAGTTCTTGGTCCCCTGCAAATTATCAACAATATGTGGAAGACCAAAAATAGTGCATTGAATTCCGGAAAAGCTTTGGCTGTGGCTTCGGCCATAGTTCCAGTTCCACCACCCACATCAGCCAGAGACTTCAACTCCTTAAGCACGTCTTTCTAGTTTCCATAAAAAATGTTTGACATCAACCGAGAGTCAGACTGTCAGAGACCATGTTATTGTAAGGTTTCTCAATCTAGGTTCATCAGCTACGAATCCCATAAATTTTTCCCTCGGGCTGTCTCAGAGACTGGTGGATCATCATTTCGTAACCATGTGCTTAAAGAATTGAAAGGGGTTGTGAGAATCGGTCAGCTACGAAATTCACAACGGTGCAACGTTGATGGAGTTATCTTTAAGGAGGACTGAGGAGTCGAGAAGCGGTTGTAAGAAATATGTTAAGAGTTGAACCTATTTTGGTGAATCTAAACTTGGCTATGGTCGAAGAAATAAAGAATTTTTTTTTTTTTTTTTTTTTTTTTTTTTTTTGGGGGGGAAAAAAAAAATAAAATTGCAGTGTTGGAATGGATAAGTCGAAATTATGGCAGAAAAGGCTTGCCACGGAAGAAGGAAAAGCTGGCCGCGACTAAGGAGAAAATTAAGCTCTGAAAAAGAATTATGCCGTGGCGTGCGTTGTTCCAAGCAGTTCAATTTCCGTTAGTCTTCCGTTTAGTATTTGATTATTTTCTTGTTTTAGAAGATTGTTACATTAGCTATTTCCTGCTTTAAGAGTTTGAGTTTAGATTAATTGTTTTCCTATCCTTAGTTTGAGTTGAATTAGGGAGTTAGTTTTTGATTAGGTTTAATATTATTGTCTCTTACTATAAAGATGGAAAATATTATTTTTTGTAATTCAGTCAATTACGAGTGAAATAAAACTTCAGATTTCTTCCTTCATTTATCAAGTTTTTGCTGTGTGATTTAAAATTCTAACTCCCAATTCCAACAATTGGTATCGGAGTGGAGGAAGATACTCCATAAAATTCAATGCGGCAAAATTCCTGTATTTACAGGAGAACTTTATCATATCTGGAAAGTGAAGATGACAGCATTTTTACAAACTTAAGACTTGTGGAAGTTACAAAAATTGGTGGTGACTTTCAAGATTACCAGAGGATCCAACATCGCTCTGATGAAATTACATAAAGCACGAAAATAGGAAGAAAGCAAGGGCTCTTTCGTATCTACATCACCTATAACTGATTCAATTTTTGTGAATCATTGCTTGTAGTACCGCTAAAGAAATATGGGAGAAGTTGTAGGCAGAGTATCAAGGTTCTGAGAAACAAGATATGAAGATCATGTTAAAGAGGCAGCTTGAGAACATGAGGATGATTGAAACAAAGAGCGTATCATAGTACTCTGACAGGCTAATGATCTTGCGAATGAACAGAATCTGTTGCCATTTATGAATTGTCTTAGTCTTAGGCATTTTACTCTATCACTCATCCTTATCATATCTCATTTGTTGGAATTTTATTGAACTTGTTATTCATGGTGTACTAAAAACTTCCATACTTTGTGATGTTGTTTGCGTTATGTTTTTGTTTCAAGAGTAATCAAATATATATGTTTTAGTTTGGTATGTTGACTTTTATGCCTAAGAGGGGATATTGATGATGAATTATGTTACGTTTTTTTGAAGAATGTTTCAGATGGTTAATCATATCATATCAAAGTTAATTGGGTCATACAATCTTGAACTTACGCAATTTGTATGTATCATGTTATTGTCAGTATTATTCATTTCTTTCTTTGTTTTGTTGGATGATCTGTGTCTGTAAAATAATACAAAAAGGGTAGAATGGACCGTAAAAATTAAAGAGTTCCTATTCAAATTGTGGAAATCTTGAAAGTGCTTTTTCATGTTAAAATGCTAATATCTTGTACCTGCTGGATGATTCTTGCAATTCCCATCTTAAACCTGATATAATAAATGGCCCCAGAAGAATTTTTAATTATCATTTGTTTTGAAGGCTCTAAACAACTCAGACCCCAATCCATTCATCTGACTGGTAGCATTTGTCAAATTATTTTAATTTGTTGTGCAATTAATTCAAATAGCCTAGAAAGCTCTGTTCTGAAACAAAGAAGATGCCTGAAGAACTGATATTCAGAAGGGTGTTAAGTCCGTTAACTGCCTGGGTGTTACAAGTTCGTTAGTTCACAAGGCTGTGTGCATTTTGGAAGATTAAGTCCGTTTAAGTTTTAACTCCGTTAGTTTTACTCCATTGCTGGAACTGGAACCTGGTGTAACTTTACAAATGACAAAAAAAAAACCTGTAAAATTTACAAATACACCACCATTTGTTTAAATATTCCATAACAATATATGGCCATGTTTGGCTTATTATTTTTATTAGATTCCCAATCCTATTCTCCAAATAATGTTTGGCACATTATTCCAGAAATATTACCCTATTTTTTTAATTACTTTTAGACTCTATAAGGTTATTAATTTCATCAAATACACCCTAAATTTTTTTTTAAAAAATTATCAAAAACACCCCCGCAACCCATACTCGCCAGATTCCGACAACCATCGTCGGTGGTAGCCAGGATCTGTACAACGGCCTACCTGCCGACCATAAATGGCCGGAAGTTCACCGATTTGGCCTTTTTCGGTCAGATCCACCACGGATCTGGTCGGAAAAGGCCAGATCTGGCAGTGAACGATGGCCAAAGAAATGGCCGTCGTTGAGGTCAACGACGGCCAAATCTTGGCCATCGTTGACCGAAAACGACGACCATATCTTTGGCCGTCGTTTTGGCATTTTCCGGCCACGGCAGGCAGTAGATCTGGCCGGAAAAGGCCATAACGATATGTTACGACACAAATCCGACCGGTCTGTGTCATAACGCGATTTTTCGACCAGATTCCGACGGTGGTGGTCGGAATCTAGCACTGCAGGTGGTGGGGGTATTTTTGTCAATTTACATGTTGGGGTATTTATTAAATTAGCAAACTTAGGAGGTTTTTTTATAAATTTTTAAATTTTACCTCGTAATACTCTCATATTCAATTATCCAATACTATCCCCAAAATCCTATCCAAAATAATAAACCAAACGCACCCATAACTTTTTCCTTTTTAATTAATTTTAATATTTCAAATAATTTTAATATATAGTGTAAGACTATATATTAAAATTATTCATAGCTTCTTCATATCCAAAATCCAAAATCCAAAGTGTTCAATATATAGCCTATGACAAATTAAAATTGACTTGGGGATTTCATTGTTAGGTTTAGTTAGGGGTAAAATTTATTAAAACCCCCCGATGTTGTATATTAGTTTTATAAATCCCGATTCTTTTCCCGACTCCTTGTAGGATACCCTGTTATCGGTTCCTAGCAGGGTACCCTATTCCAGGTTTCGATTCTAGTTCCTGGTTCCTAGAATGAAGGAGTCGGAATCGGAATTGGGGGGTCTTAGTTCCCATTTTTTAGAATCAAAACATATCCTATAAGGGCCAGTTTCAGTTCTTACCCGAAACTGGGACCCTGGGTATCCGCCGGTTCCAGGTAGAACCTATTTTCATGCTCACCCCTTATAAACTGTTAGGAGAAACAACAACAGGACAACAGGATGAATTCTCTCTTCACTTACGTAATCCTAATAGGAAGTAACAATGTAGAGCAATGTATCCACTGAAATATCACAACACCAGTCACACACACAAACACAAGTCAATTTTAACGTGGAAAAACTCCTCGGTGTGAAGAGTAAGAAACCATAGGACCATAATCCCCTCAAAAACTCCACTATCAAATGAATAATCGGTATACAATGTTCTTCTCTAGTTAGAACTATAGGCATGCAGCAGCGCTATCATCAAGAATCATAATCTTGGTATCACAATGGAATTTCACTTGTAGGTACTGTTCATTGACGGAAAACCTGATGTAGGGAGCTCCGAATGACAATTCCACCATTCAGGTTGAAGAACTACGAGTCACGAGCATACTGACCAAATTTCAGCTCAATCAGACCACAGATCGATCGCCAATCCACAGTTTGATGAAAACTGTCGCTGCCCCAAAACCCAGTTTTTCTGCCACCACAGATCGATCTCCAATTCACAGGTTAAAAGATACTATTGATTTTCCAAATTTCATTAAGTACTAATTTAGCTCAGGTTTTAAAACACCAGAATTGTAATTTTTTCATTTAATTTGCCATATGGATGGATGTGATTGGCAGCTTGCCCAGTAAGATTAAATATTTTGATAACATTGTCAACACTTAAATTTATTGATTTTGAGATAGATATCAACACACCTTATATTATGTGTGGAGGATGGTACATGGTTAATTAACAAATATGGCTTATTAAATTACCACTAATGTTACTTGAGAGACTGCAAAAATATCCTGGACTTGATTAGTTAAGCTCTTAATGATCAGGTTAACTAATTAATTTATCTCTTGTGTAGAATATAGATTAGGATAAGGACAAGGCTTCTTCTTATTAATTTGCTAAAAATAAAAATTAAAGGTAGGAAGTAGTTGTATTTAAACAATTTCTAAGCAATTAAATATTGCTCAGAAACATAAAATTAAACATTTATGATGTTTATGAAGTTGTAGACGTGCTGTGGTTTGTCGAAATTATAGGTATATAAAATTAAAAAGGCATAAAATTATTGTCAACTACTCATCTTTAAGTTGTCACTCAATTGTAGTCACAAACACAATTATTTGTCTCCAGCAGGTGGACGCTGAATTCTCGACCACCAATGTCTGGTAATTACATTTAACATTTATGTTATCATTCTTATTTCTTAACTGTATATATCTCTTAATCAAACTATAAAAACTGGCATGTCATATCGTAAAAATTGACAGAAAGTTTAATATTTATATATATATATTAAAATGTTAATATTATGTGCAAAATAGATTGATATGACAATCACATTACATAAGTTTTATATGTGAATGATCTGCATGAGTAATAATCTTGATCTAGTTGCTGAAACTGTACATATTACATTGTATATGCTATTTTAATTGTGGAATCAATCATCTTCAGCCTTTTTTCTGCAATAATGCCCAAGTCAAATCCATAAATACACTGGACAAAAAGACATAAAGTAATAAAACAAAATTTGAGAGAAGGTTTAATACGTTAAATTAAATCTCGATAAAAGCATTCGACTTTATCTAATCTAATTGTGATCAATATTTGATTAACTTATTCAAAATTATTATAGAAGATAATTCATATTTTTATCATTTCAAGGAACTCTTGAATGTATTATTCAAGAGATTTTGAGTTTGAGTCTTTCTTCGGTTGTTAATACGCATAACTACTAGAGTTTTTATCTGATCGATAGTTTCAATATCCTCGAAGATTAGTTAAGATACACGTAAACTTATCCGAATACATTTGATGATAAAACAAAAAAGTTTATTCAAATTCCATATGATATTCAGTTTTTAAAATATTTTTATCACAAATCACTTTTTTTTTTTTTTCATAAACCAACCTTATATAGTTATATATGTTGATTTTTGATCAAAAGTTCAAAAAAAGTATTTATCAGAAATTTGAGCGAACCTCCTGGGTGGTTTGTAAAATCGGCTCTTAATTGTCTTGCATTAGTGCTACTTCTGCTCTAATCTCATGATTTGACAGACAAATTGCAAACAGATACCATTAATTAATTTATTTCTATTCTTTTGAAAGCCATTACAATTTCCTACAATCACACACCAAAAGATAAATAACATGACGGCAATACACGCTGCCACAATACAATTCCATGAAAATTAATACAGTACATTACCACTCACGAAACATGCTCATTAGAAATGAACTTATTACACACAAATACTAGCAGAAAATAAATCAAGGGTAAAGCTCAATGAGAGACCTTAGACCTAGTATAGGAGTTATCTTATAGTGAGTGAAACCAGCTTCTAAGAAGAGCTTCTTCCACTCTTCGACACTCCGTTCTTTGCCGGTGTTGAACAGAGACATCATTAACATGTCGAAGCATAGTTGTGTCTCCGTTGACTGCTCACTTTGATCTTCCATTCCGATGGCCAGGTCTATTATTATCACCTTCCCTCCCTTTTCTTTGCTTGGAATTGCTTCTCTACACCTTTCTAATATCTTCAAGCTCTCTTCATCACCCCAGTCATGCAAAATCCACTGTATATTTTCCCATTATTAATTTATATATTCACTGTTAGTCGCTGTTAAAAACCTATAATCTGAATGCAAATCAACATAGCTAGTAGTGAAAATGTTATGCTATGAATTATGAGAGTAGTTCTCTGCAATTTAATTTGATATGGCATTGGTAGGGTAGGAATGCTGGATACAAATAAGAATAATAATATAATATAGTGTGTATGTCACACTGTATGACAAAAACTAATTAAGATTGATTTTAAATTAAGCATGAAGAAACTAAATTAATGGAAAATTACGTACAAGTGTTTACCTTGAGTAAGACTGCATCAGCCGAAGGTATTGCCTTAAACATGTCTCCTCCAAGAAAATTCAAGTTCTTAGTCCCCTGCAAATTATCAACAACATGTGGGAGATCAAAAACAGTGCATTGAATCTCTGGAAAAGCATTGGCTATGATTTCGGCCATAGTTCCAGTGCCACCACCCACATCAACCAGAGACTTCAACCCCTTAAACACCTCTCTATGGTCTTCAATCAAAACTCTCGCTACCAGCTGAGAGTCACTGACCATGGCATGATAAAAAGTGTTTTTAAATTTAGGTTCATCAGCCACACAACCCCAAAAGTTTTTCCCATTAGTTGTTTCAAATGGTGTGGAATCATCATTCTTGAACCAAGCGCTCAAGGAATGGAAGGGACTAACTATGAGTGGATCAAGAATGAGAAACACAAATGGTGCAGCCCTGAAGGGTGCATCCTTAAGGAGGAGTCGAGAAGAGGGTGTGAGAAAATACTTGTCTTCTTGGTGATCAATTTTGCCGACTTTTCGTTGAGAAAAGAAGCCGGCAAGAACTAAGACACGCATAAGACGGTGAATGCCGTGGGCTTTATTTGGGTTCACGCCAAGTGCGGAAACGATTTGGGAAAGAGTCATGGGTTGGCCATGTTTGTGGATGATATCTGGAATGCCCAGTTGAATGGCGCATTTCAGAGACATGCAATTTACATAGTTCAATGAATAATTCCACACTAGAGCTTGAGCTTCAAGAAGCTCACTAGCACTCTCAACAGGAATCGAACCCATAATTAATATTGAAGGTGATCGATATGGAAAAATCTTAGACCCTGATAATTCTGCCAGGAAAGAACTCTTCATATATAGTAGTTGATGGTAGTGTAAATGGGGAGCTTTAATGGTTGTTGAAGATGTGACATATTTTACTGAATCTCACTTTTTGTTTAACGAGCATTAGTAGAATTGTTCCTTGTCTTTCACGTGGATGTTAATCAAAATTAAGATCAATAATTAATTATTTCTAGATCATTTTCGGATCCTTGCACCAGATTTGGAATTTTAGTGATTTCTAGTAGGGTGTTCAAAAAAATGTAAAAGTCGAACTGAATCGGTAACTGAATAAAAAAATCAGTTAGCCAAAAAACAATTTGATTGCAATTCAAAAAATTAAATTTTCGGTTCGGTTATTGGTTTGGAAAAAAATAAAGAACAGTTAACCGGAATCGGTTTTTTGAACTGGTTATATATATAAATATAAAGCGGTTAACTGAAACCGATTTTTAGAACTGGTTATATATATATATTAAATAAAAATAAATATTATATATTAAATAAAAAATAATAATATTTTTAATGTATTGTTAGTATTGGTCAATGATATGTATGAATGTTTAATTTTTATTTGGATATGTATTGTTTATGTTTACAATTTAATTTAGGAAAAAATAAAAAAAAAGTTTTATAAAAGAAAAAGGGAAAACTAGCTCAAAACCGGTTTTTCTGCTAAACTGGTTCGATTTTGGTTTCGAAATTTTTTTGGTTCAAAAAACTGGTTAACCGTTTTTTAACACCCTCAATTTCTATCACAGGTATATATGTAGGCATATGAGAAAATGAAGAGGATACCAAAATTGTCCAAGTAAAACGGAACTCAGCATGATTTATGCTTCTATTATTGTTTTTAGATACTAATATAAAATAATAATATTATATTTATATCATTTTTTTATACTATTTTTATTATATTATAATATGACATATGTTATAATCACATAAATTTTTAATTATTTTTAAATTTTAATATTATAATAAAATTTATATAATTATAATACATATTATATTGTAATAAAAATAGTGTAAAAGAATGATATAAATATAGCTTTATTCAATACAAAATGCCTACGGTTGTGCAAATAAGAGAGAAATTATGTAATAATTATTATATATAAATTTCCACTAAAATGACGGTCTGGACCTTTATCGATGGAAACCATAGTGAAGCTCATTAATTGAACACTGTATGTGTCAGTTCATGCATGACAAATGATGGGATTAGGATAAGAAAATGCTAGACCCATATAAAAAAGATTATACAGTAATATCATTAAAAAAAAAACAGAAAAAAGGAAAGAGAGATAAAGAAATCATGAAAATCAATGAGAAAAATTGACTTTGTATGCTCGTTTATATGTATTTTTTAAAATTAGCCCTTGCTCTTAGGATAATGATGACGTTCCTCCCTTTAATTTTCTTCAAGATATTTTGAAGACTATTTAAGCCATTAGAGACTAGAGAGGGCATTGAAAAGTATCTGGAGATTATTTTATTTATTTTTTTCTGGTAAGTTCTGGAGATTTTTTTCTCTCCTGTCATATCAAATGGGAATGGGAGCCCATATCCATCTTTTTACAGTCTTATTCTCTTTCCTTCAATCTTTCATCTTATCTCCTTAATCATATTATTGTTATAAAGTAAAAATAAGTAATTTTACATGATAACTTTATTGGTCGATTCATCCACGTGGCAATCAGGATGAGGGTCGAATGGGGATTGAAAGAGGGGCATTTATCTTCCTTTATAATATTTTTCAGCTGGGCCGTGAATCTTAACAAATCTCCTGTGTCTGTTCCTTGGCCCATTGCTCGATCTTATTTATTTATTTATATATTTTACCATCTTTAACATGTTTTTTAAATAAAAAAGATTTACCATATGTAGCCAGTGACATTAATTAATATTTTTGACCATCCAACGGGGAAAAAAAATACTGTTTTAATTTTTAAAATGACATTCATGTGATTTATATCTAATTTTCCTTTGGTGGCATACTTTTTATATAATAATTAAATTATGTGGTTCAAGCCCATTTATCAAGTAAATTATGGATGAGGAAGATGGGAAAGTTAACTATCATTTAGTGGCACGATGATAAAACAATAAAATGTGTTTTATGAGCTCTCGAGTTTGAGTCTTCTCAAATACTAATAAAAGTGATCATTGAGACTCTTATCAAATCGACAGTTTTAAAGCCTTGAAAGATTAATTGAGATATACGCAAACGGGTCTGAATATCCTTAAGTGATTAAAAAAAAAAAAAAAATTAGATAGGGCAAGTTGAGCTTTTAAATTTTAATTAAAAAAAGATAAGGGTGATTTATTATGATATAAATGTACCAGATAAAAATTAAGATCAATCTTATATCTGGTTACAGTAAAAATGAAGAGTCAATTCTAGCTACTTCATCGCACAAACACATAAAATATATATATTATAGTTCATGTAGGGCTTGGGCATTTTTGGTGCTTAGTGCTTACACGATGCTGCTATGACACTATAAATTATATGTATAGTGTCACTTAGTCAAAAAAAAAATCAATAAACAAGATTTGCAAGATCTCGTCTGTGATAAAATGCCCTTAATAAATTCTAACTAATTATTTGACGCACGTTAAAGAAAAGATTACAACTAAGCTAACAGCAAAAGTCACAAAATTATTGTAATATTTAATTACCTGTCCAATCTAATTTATACATCTTTAACTCATTGTTCATTTCATATAAGTTAATTGATATAGAAAGTTTGGTGAGCAAAGAAGCGCAATCAAACGATTAACTCATTGTTTTTGTCCATTTCATAAAAGTTAATTGATTGAACTTATTAAATTTGATATAGAAAAGATGCACTCTGATGATTGGACCCGTTATCTAAAATGAGTTAAACGTGCGTATCAATTACTAAGAGTAGTGCATCGAAATGACCTCAAGGCCGACCGATTCGACGATCCGTGTGGCTCCACTTTTTTTTTTTTTTTTTAATCTAGTCAGGGTGGGACTGTAATGATCTCCATAACAGTCGTATATAAGTCTCATACATATTTAAAACTCTAATTAATTAATTAATAACTAAAGTATTAGATTGGTTTTGTCATAAGAATTCACATAATATTAGGATAGTTATTGATTGTTTCACTCATAACTTATATTATGAATAATGTAATGTATAAAAATCAATCATACAAGTTGATGTAGATGAGTTTAAACTGTTTCTTGAAAATTAATGTGACAATCCTATATGTTAACAAATTATTTTAATTTATCTCTAATTTTAAGACATTCAGTTATATTTAAATATATCAATTTGTCTAAGTAAGTTTGTATATATTCTATTAATCCTTTTTACTACAGCATACTATTAATTATATAAATTAAGTAGATGTATATGGAGATCTTTTCAATTATTCTAATATTAATCCTAATATTTGTGAATAAAGGGATCTTGGATCATTAATGGAAAACAAAAACTCAAATCAGTAATTATTGCTTGAATTTATTTCATATAACATTTCCACTCATTAGAGGGCATTAATTAAATTAAAAACACAGATCTAAAATAAAATACTTTTTTCCCACAGAGCACTCTTTAAATATTGCAAAATAATAGACACTCTGATCACAAACCAGAACACGTTTTCATGAAAAAAAAAAGTAGCCAGCTTCTCAAGGATAAACCTCAATGAGAGACCTTAAACCTAATATTGGGTTTATTTTATAGCGAGTGAAACCAGCCTCCAGGAAAAGCTTGGCCCATTCTTTCTCATCTCGCTCTTTCCCTGAAACCAACACCATCATCAGCATGTCAAAGTAGAGTTGCGTTTCAGTCGACTCATCATTCCCTTCTTTCTTCTCTACCAACATGTCTATTATAATCACTTTCCCCATCTTCCCGTTGCTTGTAATCGCTTCCTTACATTTCTTCAGAATCTTCACGCATTCTTCATCGCTCCAATCGTGTAATATCCACTACTTATCAATCACCACGTCAGTAAAATTTTTCAAACATGAAACAACAACTAATAAATATTTTCAAGGATAGAAAAAATATTACGTTGAAGAAGAGACTGAGAGTAATAACTTCAAAATTACCTTAAGTAAAACTGCATCTGCAGAAGGAACAGCCTCAAACATATTGCCGCCGGCATATTTGAGATTGTCATGGCTTTGCATGTCAGCAACCACATGTGGAAGATCATATACAGTGCATTCCAAGTTGGGAAAAGCTTTAGCAATGGCCTTAGCCACCGTTCCAGTGCCACCACCAACATCGATCAACGACTTCAGCCCCTTGAACACATGCTTACACTTATCAATCACCACGCTAGTAACTAATCGGGCATCACTAGCCATGGCTTCATTGAAAAGATGGTTAACCTTTGGCTCTTTCTCAGCATACTCCCAAAATTTCTTCCCGTGAGCTGTATCGAAAGGAGTAGAATCACCGTTTTGAAACCAAGTGCTGAGATGGTGCCATGGTGTTGTCAACACAGGATTGAGCATAGCCATAAGAAAAGGACTTACACTCAAGGGGTTGTCCTTAAGGAGGAGTAGTGAAGAAGTGGTGATAGCATAAACGTACTCTTCTTCTTCACCATTTTCACTAACTTTCTGTGATGTGAAGAAACCAGCGTGAGTTAAAATACGCATGAGGCGGTAGACAAAGAGGGTTTTGGAGGGGTGAACTGGTAAGGCAGTAATCAGCTGGTTTAGGGTCATGGGTTTTCCATGGTAGTGGATTGCATCTGGTATGCCTAATTGAATAGCGCATTTAAGAGACATGGAATTTATGAAGCTGAAAATGTGGTTCCAAACATGAGCTTGAGCTTGGAGAAGCTCGCTATCATGTTCTCCATTCACCAAATGCATCTTTAGGATCTATCTAAGCTTATTCCTAGGCCCCTTATAATTGTTTGTGTGATTTGTGTAAGATATTGAGGTCTCTATATAGCAATGT